TGGGAATCCTTGAAACGCCTACAACAGGCGCAAGCAAAATAGAAAAACAACAACTTGGTTGTCTCAGCTTTGCTTTGAGTTGTGTACTTGTTCATGGCTTCATTTGTTGCGGTCAAATTGAGTTTGTTGTTTGCGTTACTTTCAATGCTTCATTTGTTCCTGGCTTGTGCTTGCCAGGTGCATTTATGGAGAGCATCGTGAGTTTCCAGGAGCGCCGGACAATTTCTCTTCTATTAGCTTCTATATATATATATATATTCCAAGACATTCACTTGTGATTCAAGAGTGGGATTGTTTCTGTGTATTTTGTGTCATCCATTGCAGATTGTAGGGCTCAAAGCTGTGATCATTCTTACTATTGTTGTTCCTAGGATTCAGAGTTCAAGCCATGTCACGTGCTACTCATGATGTGCCTTCTCCTAGAACATTGCTTTGCAGAAACTCTCTTGGGTCCTCGCTTCGTGTGCCTCTGAAGATTGCTGAAAGTCTCTTTCCCGATGAGACTGGAGATTGTTCGTCGGACAGCACTGGGCCAGAACCTGAGCATCTATGTTTGGAGAGTCGCTTGACCAAACGGTTGCGCATCGTGATCACCATTAAGAAGCAGTATCGAGATGCAGGGATACAAGCGCCGGAGTTTCTAGAAGACATGGGAACAGAGTCCAAATTGATGATGACCAAGCGTCCTTGGGAACGTGAGTGTTTCAGGGCTAGACATCTGCTTCGAGAACTTCTCTGTCAGATACAGGATGAATCGAATGAAGAGTGAGTTTGCCCTTTTAGTCGCAGTCTCGCCGGACATTGCAGTCTTGTCAATTGCATTCTCGCCGGACAGTTTGGACTGTGGTGGTAATTAACTATGTAACGTAGACAGACCTCCTTCCAATCTGAAATAGATTGGTGAGAGTGTGCTGCTATATAACTATTGAAAGTAGATCTTAAAAAGTTGCGTGCTGTGTTCAAGTGGCATTGATGGGCCAGGTTTTATTGAAGATATGGTTTAATGCATACATACATGAATCTGGACCGCCAGGATGGACCAGGCTCATCTCTCTACTCGTTCAATGTGGAACCTCAGAGAGAGACTTGTCGGAGTTTGTGACGTTGTAGCTTTACCAAAGTATTGCTTCTTTCAAGCTGATCTGTCAGTGGGACTTGCCTTCGTGCAATTCACAAAGGTTTGAGTTGGAGACCGAGCTCTTGCTTTGCACATCACTCAGCATACTGATGGTGGAAACTCAAACCCAAACAAGTATTGTGCATAGATTTGTTTTCAGAATCAAACATGCAACATAGATGGATACATGTTTGACGCCGGACATGTTTGGCCAGCTGATGTTTGTTTCTTTTGTAGTTCTTGCATTTTGTTCACAGTCCAGGCTCTTTGAAGTCTGGTGCAATGCATTCTGTGCATTGTGGCAAAGGCTCAGTATCATTCTTGAGTTGAAAGCTTGCATCACAGTCTGTGTATTTTTGTGCAATATCATATAGCGCCGGACAGCTTCCATTTTTCAAGGGGCTTTGGGATCATCTAAGTAATGCAGGCACGTCGGACAATTTGTCGCCGGACTGTGGACTCAGTAACTATGGACATGCTAAGACTTGTGAAAAACAAATCACAACGTGTGCAAAAGATGTGTTGTCTAACTCTGGCAGTTTGCTTTGGGCTCTGGTGTGCATTTGGTTGTGATAGTGCAGAGTCTTTCCCTTCTTCCAAGTCACAAAGGTTTGAGTTGGAGACCGAGCTCTTGCTTTGCACATATGTTTTCAGAATCAAACATGCAACATAGATGGATACATGTTTGACGCCGGACATGTTTGGCCAGCTGATGTTTGTTTCTTTTGTAGTTCTTGCGTTTTGTTCACAGTCCAGGCTCTTTGAAGTCTGGTGCAATGCATTCTGTGCATTGTGCCAAAGGCTCAGTATCATTCTTGAGTTGAAAGCTTGCAATACAATCTGTGTATTCTTTGTGCAATATCATGTAGCGCCGGACAGCTTCCATCTTTCAAGGGGCTTTGGAATCTTTGGATGGGCATGAGTTTCCACCGATCAATCAGAAACATAAAGCTGACACTTCATCATTGCTGTGATTCTGAGTTTCTTCAGGCATGTTTGGTGTATGCATCTCTTTGTGCTTTTGAACAAATATCTTTGCTATCCATAGAGCAGTTCGACGGACAGTTTGTGAAGGTATTGTATTGTCTGTCATATACTGGTGACTGAAAAGGTTTTGGCTTTTTGTGAAGTGAGGAAGTTTGTCTTAGATTAGATCTTCGATCACCTTTGCTGCGATGAACATGGGAGTGGGAAATGGCATGGTGAACAAAAAGGCACGAGGCATGGTGCCACCGCAAATGCCAATGATGATGAACCCCATGGGCATGATGAATCCAATGACGGCAGGAATGATGGGGACTATGCCTGGTATGACGCGGCATGATGGGTATGCCAGGCATGAATCCCAATGCCGCTGCTATGGCTGCAGGGTATGGCAATGATTGGGATGAAGATCAGGAGGATGCTCAGCCAAAAGCTTCTCAAGCTGCTTCCGCCGGACAGTCCGCCGGACATGATGCTGTAGATGATGAGGACGATATGGCTGCTGCAGCTCTCAGGGGATTGGCTCAAAGCCGGGCTTCGCTTTTCAAACCTGGCACAGCGTCGGACAAGATTACAAGCTCAGCGGCGGTGATTCGAGCTCTTCCAAAGGACTGACAAGCCCATTGTTCCTTTGACTTTGTGTGTTCAATCCAAAACCTCATATTTGAACAACTATATTCAGAGACTATATTCAGAGGATTCCATATGTAATATATATATATATATATATTGTGTGTGACCATTTGGACCCTGCAGAAGAAGTTGTCGGAGGCGGTGGCCATCGATGGAAGTCTAGACCCGACTGTGACATCAGATCTGGACCACTCATCTTTGGTTCGGCTCATTTGGCTATTGACTAGGCAAAAGCCCACAGTATCAATCTCTCAATTGAGGGTGAAAGGATACTCTGAGATGAATGCCAGGTTCCGCAAGAGGCACAAGGAACTTGTGGCTTCCTCGTCGGACATTCAGACATGTTTGGCATCTCTCAAGAGTGAGGCAACACTTACAAAAAGCTTTGTCAACGCAGCAGCCCAAGCGCAGGGATTTGATGAGCAATGGATGGTGGAAGTTATTCCCAAGGGTCGTGGGCGTGGGGCCAAAGCTGTTGCTGCTGATCCTGCTCGGGAAATCGCAACCAACCGCTCTTTGCCTGATATGTTGCGACCTCCAATGCCAGTGGCACAGGTCCGCCCACCGCCTCTTCAAGTGAATACGCCGGACATGGAAGCTCACCCTGGTCAGACAATTCCTCTTGTCAAGATGAGTGCTGCTATCAGGCCCAATGTCATGGCACCTCCGAATGTGGCTGCAGCAGCTGCTCCCAAGTCTGTGCCCATGATGCGTCCAGTGCTTGCTCCACCACCTCGTGTCAATGACCAGGGGCCAAACTAAAATATAGAGAGTGCACAAATGTTTGATTTTTACATTGTCTGAGACTCAGAAGAGTGAGTAGTGAGTGTTCAACTAGGGGATTGTTTGTTGGTTCCTTTGTTGTGGACTAAATAAAAAAGGACTGTCACGACATTGAGTACTTTGTTTCCAGGAGATTGGACAGGAGCAATTGGTGGGAGTGGAGCCTGCTGCAGCTGTGGAGGGTGATGCAAATGTGGAGGCAGCTGCGGCTGTGGAGCCTGCTGAGGCTGTGAATGTGAATGTTCCGCCGGACAGTGAACAGCTGATTTGTGCCATTTGCAGGCAGGCACTGATGGGGGCTGAGAACCCACAGTATTCCCCATTGGCTTTGCAGTGTGGCCACACGTTCCACACACTTTGTCTGGAGAACACTTGGCGGATCGGAAATCATCAGCCTGGTTGGTGCCCATTTCGTTGTGACATGAGGCAACTGGCCGTGATGGCGGGCAACCTGTTGAACAATGGTGGGAATCAGGCGTCGCAGAATCAGGCAGGTGCGCCGGACAACGCAGCAGCAGCAGCAGCAGCAGCAGCAGCTGACACTTCAGGCGCGCCGGACAACGCAGTGGTGGTGGTCCCGGACAACGCAGTGGAGGCTGACAATGCAGGAGCGCCGGACAACGCAGCGCCGGTCATTGATCTCTAAGTAGATTTCTGATGTGATTTCAAAGCTTTCTTAAAAGCTTCAATCTATTCCAAAGGCCTTTGCAAAGGCTCAGTTTGTGAGTGACTGCATG